CACCCTTCTGGCAGGACAGTGATGGAGTGAATGATAGTGAAAGTTTTTCTTTTTCGGGCCACCCTGCCTTGGTGGGAATCGGCCAGTGTGATAATAATAAATAAAAAAATATTTAGAAAAAGGTACGAAAGTTTTTATTGCATTTATGGATTTAGAAAAGGCATATGATAGAGTGGATAGGGGAGCAATGTGGTAGATGTTGCAAGTACAGTGGACCCCCGCTTAACGATCACCTCCCAATGCGACCAATTATGTAAGTGTATTTATGTAAGTGCGTTTGTACGTGTATGTTTGGGGGTCCGAAATGGACTAATCTACTTCACAATATTCCTTATGGGAACAAATTCGGTCAGTACTGGCACCTGAACATACTTCTGGAGTGAAAAAATATCGTTAACCGGGGGTCCACTGTATATGAAATAGGTGGTAAGTTACTAAATGCTGTAAAGAGTTTTTATGAGGATAGTGAGGTTCAGGTTAGGGTGTGCAGAAGAGAGGGAGACTACTTCCTGGTAAAAGTAGGTCTTAGACAGGGATGTGTAATGTCACCATGGTTGTTTAATATATTTATAAATGGGGTTGTAAAAGAAGTAAATGTTAGGGTGTTCGGGAGAGGGGTGGGATTAAATTATGGGGAATCAAATAGAAAATGGGAGTTGACACAGTTACTTTTTGCTGATGATCCTGTGCTTATGGGAGATTCTAAAGAAAAGTTGCAAAGGTTAGTGGATGAGTTTGGGAGGGTGTGTGTAGGTAGAAAGTTGAAAGTGAACACAGATAAGAGTAAGGTGATGAGGGTATCAAATGATTTAGATAAAGAAAAATTGGATATCACATTGGAGAGGAGTATGGAAGAAGTGAATGATTTCAGATATTTGGGAACTGACTTGTCAGCGGATGGGTTTATGAAGGATAAGGTTAACAATAGAACTGATGAAGGAAAAAAGCGACAAAAAATGTTTTCCATGGAGGCCAAGAAGGGAATGTACAAAAGTATAGTGGTACCAACATTAATGTGTTAGTACCACTATACTACAATGTGTGGTGTAAATATTATGCAGAGAATTCATAATGTGGAAATTAGGAGTAGGTGTGGAGTTTATAAAGTATTAGTCAGAGGGCTGAAGAGGGGTTGTTGAGGTGGTTTGGTCATTTAGAGAGTCTGGATCAAAGTAGAATGATGTGGAGAGGGTATAAATCTGTAGGAGAAGGAAGGAGGGGTAGGGGTCGTCCTCGAAGAGGTTGCATGGAGGGGGTAAAGGTTTTGTGGGCGAGGGACTTGGATTTCCAGCAAGCATGTATGAGCGTGTTAGATAGGAATGGAGACGAATGGTTTTTGGGACCTGACGAGCTGTTGGAGTGTGAGCAGGGTAATATTTAGTGAAGGGATTCAGGGAAACCGGTTATTTTTATATAGCCGGACTCGAGTACTGAAAATGGGAAGTACACTATGCCAGCACTTTAAAGGAGGGGTTTAGGATATTGGCAGTTTGGAGGGGCATGTTATAAATGCTTCTAAACTGTTGCATCTGAGTGCCTCTGCAAAAACAGTGATTATGTGTGAGTGAGGTGAAAGTGTTGAATGATAAAAGTATTTTCTTTTTGGGGATTTTCTTTTTTTTTTTTGGGTCACCCTGCCTCGGTGGGAGACGGGCGACCAGTTGAAAAAAAAAAAATTATTTTTTTTTAAACACCAGCTGTCTCCCACCAAGGTAGGGAAGTGCTAAACCCATAAGTCATACAGCATTTAGGGAACAAGATATAACCAAGTTTGATCCAAGGGAAGGGGAGGGAGGTTCAATTCCTTGAATCAAAATCCCTTTGCTAGCATCAAGGCACCCTCCTGAAGGGAAACTACTTCATAAATAAACACAATAACCCGTGGTAGTGCCTCCAGCTCAAAAATAAAGTACAAAAGTTATTTCCCAGCATGAATGGAAATATTCAGCATGATTCCTTATACCTGTTACAAATCTTCACCTAGAGGTAAGTAGGTACCTATATGTTAACCAACTGTTGTGGGTGGCATCTCTTGAAGGATGTTAATATACCTTAAACAATGACTAGACTTTGAAATGAGCTGAGGTAGGATAATGTATTTGTGACTGTAAATTCAACTGCACCTGGAGAAGAGAGGAATGCAGAGGAGAGAGAGAGATTTTGGGAGATGTTAAGTGAATGTATAGGAGCCTTTGAACCAAGTGAGAGAGTAATTGTGGTAGGGGACCTGAATGCTAAAGTAGGAGAAACTTTTAGAGAGGGTGTGGTAGGTAAGTTTGGGGTGCCAGGTGTAAATGATAATGGGAGCCCTTTGATTGAACTTTGTATAGAAAGGGGTTTAGTTATAGGTAATACATATTTTAAGAAAAAGAGGATAAATAATTATACAAGATATGATGTAGGGCAAAATGACAGTAGTTTGTTGGATTATGTATTGGTAGATAAAAGACTGTTGAGTAGACTTCAGGATGTACATGTTTATAGAGGGGCCACAGATATATCAGATCACTTTCTAGTTGTAGCTACACTCACAGTAAAAGGTAGATGGGATACAAGGAGAATAGAAGCATCAGGGAAGAGAGAGGTGAAGGTTTATAAACTAAAAGAGGAGGCAGTTAGGGTAAGATATAAACAGCTTTTGGAGGATAGATGGGCTAATGAGAGCATAGGCAATGGGGTCGAAGAGGTATGGGGTAGGTTTAAAAATGTAGTGTTAGAGTGTTCAGCAGAAGTTTGTGGTTACAGGAAAGTGGATGCGGGAGGGAAGAGGAGCGATTGGTGGAATGATGATGTAAAGAGAGTAGTAAGGGAGAAAAAGTTAGCATATGAGAAGTTTTTACAAAGTAGAAGTGATGCAAGGAGGGAAGAGTATATGGAGAAAAAGAGAGAGGTTAAGAGAGTGGTGAAGCAATGTAAAAAGAGAGCAAATGAGAGAGTGGGTGAGATGTTATCAACAAATTTTGTTGAAAATAAGAAAAAGTTTTGGAGTGAGATTAACAAGTTAAGAAAGCCTAGAGAACAAATGGATTTGTCAGTTAAAAATAGGAGAGGAGAGTTATTAAATGGAGAGTTAGAGGTATTGGGAAGATGGAGGGAATATTTTGAGGAATTGTTAAATGTTGAAGATAGGGAAGCTGTGATTTCGTGTATAGGACAAGGAGGAATAACATCTTGTAGGAGTGAGGAAGGGCCAGTTGTGAGAGTGGGGGAAGTTCGTGAGGCAGTAGGTAAAATGAAAGGGGGTAAGGCAGCCGGGATTGATAGGATAAAGATAGAAATATTAAAAGCAGGTGGGGATATAGTTTTAGAGTGGTTGGTGCAATTATTTAATAAATGTATGGAAGAGGGTAAGGTACCTAGGGATTGGTAGAGAGCATGCATAGTTCCTTTGTATAAAGGCAAAGGGGATAAAAGAGAGTTCAAAATTTATAGGGGGATAAGTCTGCTGAGTATACCTGGTAAAGTGTACAGTAGAGTTATTATTGAAAGAATTAAGAGTAAGACGGAGAATAGGATAGCAGATGAACAAGGAGGCTTTAGGAAAGGTAGGGGGTGTGTGGACCAGGTGTTTACAGTGAAACATATAAGTGAACAGCATTTAGATAAGGCTAAAGAGGTCTTTGTGGCATTTATGGATTTGGAAAAGGCATATGACAGGGTGGATAGGGGACAATGTGGCAGATGTTGCAAGTGTATGGTGTAGGAGGTAGGTTACTGAAAGCAGTGAAGAGTTTTTACGAGGATAGTGAGGCTCAAGTTAGAGTATGTAGGAAAGAGGGAAATTATTTCCCAGTAAAAGTAGGCCTTAGACAAGGATGTGTGATGTCACCGTGGTTGTTTAATATATTTATAGATGGGGTTGTAAGAGAAGTAAATGCGAGGGTCTTGGCAAGAGGCGTGGAGTTAAAAGATAAAGAATCACACACAAAGTGGGAGTTGTCACAGCTGCTCTTTGCTGATGACACTGTGCTCTTGGGAGATTCTGAAGAGAAGTTGCAGAGATTGATGGATGAATTTGGTAGGGTGTGCAAAAGAAGAAAATTGAAAGTGAATACAGAAAAGAGTAAGGTTATGAGGATAACAAAAAGATTAGGTGATGAAAGATTGAATATCAGATTGGAGGGAGAGAGTATGGAGGAGGTGAATGTATTCAGATATTTGGGAGTGGACGTGTCAGCGGATGGGTCTATGAAAGATGAGGTGAATCATAGAATTGATGAGGGGAAAAGAGTGAGTGGTGCACTTAGGAGTCTGTGGAGACAAAACTTTGTCCTTGGAGGCAAAGAGAGTATAGTTTTACCAACGCTCTTATATGGGTGTGAAGCATGGGTGATGAATGTTGCAGCGAGGAGAAGGCTGGAGGCAGTGGAGATGTCATGTCTGAGGGCAATGTTTGCTGTGAATATAACGCAGAGAATTCGTAGTTTGGAAGTTAGTAGGAGGTGCGGGATTACCAAAACTGTTGTCCAGAGGGCTGAGGAAGGGTTGTTGAGGTGGTTCGGACATGTAGAGAGAATGGAGCGAAACAGAATGACTTCAAGAGTGTATCAGTCTGTAGTGGAAGGAAGGCGGGGTAGGGGTCGGCCTAGGAAAGGTTGGAGAGAGGGGGTGAAGGAGGTTTTGTGTGCGAGGGGCTTGGACTTCCAGCAGGCATGCGTGAGCGTGTTTGATAGGAGTGAATGGAGACAAATGGTTTTTAATACTTGACATGCTGTTGGAGTGTGAGCAAAGTAACATTTATGAAGGGGTTCAGGGAAACCGGCAGGCCGGACTTGAGTCCTGGAGATGGGAAGTGCAGTGCCTGCACTCTGAAGGAGGGGTGTTAATGTTGCAGTTTAAAAACTGTAGTGTAAAGCACCCTTCTGGCAAGACAGTGATGGAGTGAATGATGGTGAAAGTTTTTTCTTTTTCGGGCCACCCTGCCTTGGTGGGAATCGGCCAGTGTGATAATAAAAAAAAAAAAAATTCAACTGCAAAACATCTGTTTAACATCTACATACTGTTTAGAAAACTGGTCACTGGTGGCAAGACTGGTACATTAGCTGTCCCTGTGTCTCCAGTAAACTGATCGTTAGTCAGTGATCCTTGTAATTCATCATATGTCTGAGGGGCATCAGATGTGGCTAATCCAATTTCAGGAGAATTTTCATGACTTGCTCTTTCTGTATTTTCTGCATTCTGTTGTGTACACTCTGAAAGTAATACAAAAGATACACACTGATAAACCTACCAACTACTCCAGCTTTTCTTTCTATAGTTCTAAACATCCTACTTCCTCCTGATATTTATATAACAGGAAACCACATGAAGGAAGTCTCCAGACTCTTTATAACAAATTTTTAATTAGTAATTGATTACATACCATTTTATCTCTCTAAGTGTGATATTAAACACACTGTACTGTATAACCTCTTTACTGCAAAGTGAAAAATGAAAGATGAAAACAAGAATATTTCACAGCTAAAACAACAATTAGTCTAAGCCACAGGAGTTGTCATAGGTCAGACACCCTATTACAAGAAGGTCTTGCATATACAGCACCTCTTTTCAGTGCTCCACATTTTCGTTGGCCTCCAGTTGAGCCACTGTTCATTATGTTCAGTGCATTTACATCTGCACTGCCATTATCACCATTTTCTTACAGCAGTTGCGTATTTGAAGGACAACCAGCGCCATGGTTGGAGCTGTATGAACAGGACCCTCCTGTATTTTTCTCCTTTATATTACTGCTCTCAATTTGAGAAATACAATTACAGTACAAATATTTAAATTCTAAAACATCCACTAATACTTCACTACATATTACATAAGTGTGACCCAAGAGTAGCCATTCTAAATAGATTGTCAGTAAGGAGAGACATGCATTATGACAAAAGAATCTTGGAAACAATAGTTGACAAAAGGCATCAAGCCGTTCCTTCACACTATTATCAGTTGTGATACAATATCAGCTCCAAACTAGCATGGGAAAAAAATATTTATTGTTATTCAGGGAAACAAAAACCAGACACAAGCAGTCAATATCATAAATGATTCCATTACAACTAGGAAAGAAATTTATAAAACTAAAGAATTCTTACTGGCATTTTTAAGAGCAGCAGCAATTGTAAACTGATAATAAGTGTGTTAGTAGTTTAACCCTTAAACTGTCCAAACGTAGATCTACGTTTTTTCAACATTTGAAAGTATGTAAAAAACGTAGTTTTTTTTTTTTTTTACATTAGAAAGCATGTAAAAAACTCAGATCTATGTTTTTTTTTGTTATACGTATTTGAAAATACGTAAAAAAACATAGATCTACTTTTGGAGCACTATGCATGTGAACGTAGATCTATGTTTGGACAGTTTAAGGGTTAGACATGAGGAAATGAATAGCAGGATATTGCTCCACATAGACTATATTGTATAAATTAGAGCAAATAATCGTTTTTCTTTAGGTAATAGGTTGGTAAACAGCAACCGCCCAGGGAGGTACTACCGTCCTGCCAAGTGAGTGTAAAACGAAAGCTTGTAATTGTTTTACATGATAGTAGGATTGCTGATGTCCTTTTTTCTGTCTCATAAACTTTCAAGATTTCAGGTACGTCTTGCTACTTTTACTTACACTTAGGTCACACTACACTACACATACCTGAAATCTTGAAAGTTTATGAGACAGAAAAAAGGACATCAGCAATCCTACTATCATGTAAAACAATTACAAGCTTTCGTTTTACACTCACTTGGCAGGACGGTAGTACCTCCTGGGCGGTATATGTACAAGCATATATATACACACCCCTCTTGTTTTCTTCTATTTTCTTTCTAGTTCTTGTTCTTGTTTATTTCCTCTTATCTCCATGGGGAAGTGGAACAGAATTCTTCCTCCATAAGCCATGCGTGTTGTAAGAGGCGACTAAAATGCCGGGGGCAAGGGGCTAGTAACCCCTTCTCTTGTATAAATTACTAAATTTAAAAAGAGAAACTTTTGTTTTTTTTTTTGGGCCACCCTGCCTTGGTGGGATATGGCCAGTTTGTTAAAATATATATAAAATATATATATATATATTGCCTATGCTCTCATTAGCCTATCTATCCTCCAATAGCTGTTTATATCTTTCCCTAACTGCCTCCTCTTTTAGTTTATAAACCTTCACCTCTCTCTTCCCTGATGCTTCTATTCTCCTTGTATCCCATCTACCTTTTACTCTCAGTGTAGCTACAACTAGAAAGTGATCTGATATATCTGTGGCCCCTCTATAAACATGTACATCCTGAAGTCTACTCAACAGTCTTTTATCTACCAATACATAATCCAACAAACTACTGTCATTTTCCCCTACATCATATCTTGTATACTTATTTATCCTCTTTTTCTTAAAATATGTATTACCTATAACTAAACCCCTTTCTATACAAAGTTCAATCAAAGGGCTCCCATTATCATTTACACCTGGCACCCCAAACTTACCTACCACACCCTCTCTAAAAGTTTCTCCCTACTTTAGCATTCAGGTCCCCTACCACAATTACTCTCTCACTTGGTTCAAAGGCTCCTATACATTCACTTAACATCTCCCAAAAATTCTCTCTCTCTCCTCTGCATTCCTCTCTTCTCCAGGTGCATACATGCTTATTATGACCCACTTCTCACATCCAACCTTTACTTTAATCCACATAATTCTTGCATTTACACATTCATATTCTCTTTTCTCCTTCCATAACTGATCATTCAACATTACTGCTACCCCTTCCTTTGCTCTCTCTCAGATACTCCAGATTTAATCCCATTTATTTCCCCCCACCGAAACTCCCCTACCCCCTTCAGCTTTGTTTCGCTTAGGGCCAGGACATCCAACTTCTTTTCATTCATAACATCAGCAATCATCTGTTTCTTGTCATCTGCACTACATCCACGCACATTCAAGCATCCCAGTTTTATAAAGTTTTTCTTCTTCTCTTTTTTTAGTAAATGTCTACAGGAGAAGGGGTTACTAGCCCATTGCTCCCGGCATTTTAGTCGCCTCATATGACACGCATGGCTTATGGAGGAAAGATTCTTTTCCACTTCCCCATGGACAATAGAAGAAATAAAGAAGAACAAGAGCTATGTAGAAAAAGGAGAAAAACCTAGATGTATGTATATATATATGCATGTGCATGTCTGTGAAGTGTGACCAAAGTGTAAGTTGGAGTAGCAAGATATCCCTGTTATCTAGCGTGTTTATGAGACAGAAAAAGACACCAGCAATCCTACCATCATGCAAAACAGTTACAGGTTTCCATTTCACAGTCATCTGGCAGGACGGTAGTACTTCCCTGGGTGGTTGCTGTCTACCAACCTACTACCTATATATAATTTGTGTCCATAACACTTGTGTGCCTTCCACACCACTGTGAAACATGTATTGACAAAGAAATATTTTGATATTTATAATTGTTTCAGGGAGTAATACTCATGGAAACATGAAAATAAGTCACACTCTTTACCTTTGTCAGGTTATCCTAGGTTAAATCTATATAGTGTGCCTATTGGCTGAATTTCACTGATAGTATACAGCAATTTTAACAAACCTGGAATGAAGAAAGTATCTTCCTGGAAGTTCCACACCTTGTTTGCTGGTATGGAAGCTGGAGGTGGAACCATAGAACCTGGTTTTATTATTTACCTACAGTGCTTGTTATTCAGGGTTACCCCATGATGCACTGTGTGGACCTGCCTGGTCTTAGTTTTTGTCAAAGGCATAATAAGGTAGTAAATCAATAAATCAAGACAGTTGTGCTGAGGGCAAAAATATTGGCAGATGGTGCATTTGAAGACACAAAAAATTGTGAGCATTTTTGTCTTACACAGTCCTCACTTGTGAACTAGTACATTACACACAATTAAGGGGGTTAAGTCAAATTCTTAATAACCTTAGATACACCATACCATGGGTGGGGGTTTGAATCCACGATCAGTCTCAAAACTCCAAACCATCGCATTAGCCACTGGGCAACGGTTTGGAGTTTTGAGACTCTCTGACCGCAGGTTTAAACCCCACCTGTGGTATGGTTTGTTTGCAATCGTGTCATTACGATTTTGTGAGTCAAGTTAATCTTAGACATATCAAATGTCAGCAGATTCAGATTGAGGCAAAACTTCCATCACTGCATGAAGACAAGCACCAATAAAGTAAGACTTACGTTGCTTTGTATCCTGTACTGGATCCAATGTATCCTGTTCACCAGTCTTATCTTTCTCATCGAATTTTTCCATGTCACATTCCGATTCCCCTGTAAAATAAATACTATGTAATTAATATGGAGATCTATGACAAAGACTATAGAGGAGTCATTTACACTGACAAAAAGCTCTCAAGTAAGACTAATGAAAACTTCACAGATGACTTCCTCACAATACATAAAAAAAGAAAACTGGGTAACAAGTGATCCTGCTGTTGACTTCTGCGACAGCAAAGAGCATTAAGCATGCTATAGCACGATACATTATAAATGCAATACATGTAATATGTGAATAATGATTCCTGATTATAGAAAAGTTATTTTATTTATCTCAAGAAACAATAGCAATTATGTGAAGTATTAGAAGCAATAATACCACTACCACAATTCCTACATTCTACAACAGCCTGTATAATACACATTAAATATAAAATAAATCCCAGATGCACAAGCACAGAAAGAATTACAATTTTTTCATCCAGTTATGCACAGTATCTGTCCCAAAGAGCAAGCAAGTTAATGGAATGGGATTTTGTATAGGAATGAAAGCTAGAAACTGATGTAAAAAGAGATATATGCTCACTCAGAGTGTAGTTTTAGAATATTTGATTATGAGCATGATCACATTAAAATCTGGCACCCATGCCCTGACCAAATCGCTAATTCATAACACTGATGTTTTCAAACATATGTACCCTTAAAATGTAACCACATTAGCCTTTGATTACTTACAATATTTCTCAATACAGTACAAGACAGTAATCTATATCATTATTTTTTTTTTAACATGTTGGCCATTTCCCACCGAGGCAGGGTGACCCAAAAAGAAAGAAAAACCCAAAAAGAAAGAAAAAACTTTCATCGTTAAACTTTCACCATCATTCATACATAATCACTCTCTTTACAGAGGTGCTCAGATATGACAGTATATTATACAGAATAAAAATATAAATTCCCAACTCACCTTGGACTGGTGCAGCTTCATTAGCAAATTCACTATCAGTACTTTCTGCAAAAGCAGCATCATCCTCTATATCATGCCCACACAGCTGAAATTATTCAACACATGTAAACTGCACAAGGAAACAAGCAATGATAAATGTATAAAGACACACATACAATGTATGGGAAACCCATGTATAGGATGATTTGCTCACCAGGAACTTTTGGATAGTAAAAACTCTCCTAAATTAAATGTTCTATATGTTGCATGTCTTTTTTATAAGTTCAAAATGTACATACGAATCTACTAATTCTACTGTACAGTGGACCCCCGGTTAACGATATTTTTTCACTCCAGAAGTATGTTCAGGTGCCAGTACTGACCGAATTTGTTCCCATAAGAAATATTGTGAAGTAGATTAGTCCATTTCAGACCCCCAAACATACACGTACAAACGCACTTACATAAATACACTTACATAATTGGTCACATTCGGAGGTAATCGTTATGCGGGGGTCCACTGTATTTCATAAGGGTGAATATAATTTGTTCAAACAAAAGGAAAGGTTGGCAGGAGAGTGAAATGGTTTTGGAGGTGGGAGAGCAGTGCCTGCACTCTGAAGGATGAGTGGGGATGTTGCAGTTGGAGGGAAAATCTGACTGCGATATCAGCACATTTCCTAAAAGATGACAAATGAGTGAATATTGGTGACTGTGTTTTCTTCCTTGAGTCACTCTGCCTTGGTGGGAGACAGGAGATGAGTTAAAAAGATTACAATCATCATGGGTTCTTCTTGCAATCACCTTCCTGCATCACAATGATATTTGTTCAACGAATTTCCATGAAGTTACAGTCACTTGTAAAATGTGACAGTCAACAGTTTAAGTCAGTCAACTTACCCTTTGTAAGTGTTGATCAATTTTCCAAATTCGAAGACTTTGGTCACGAGCCCACGTCACCAACTGGTGCTCTCCAGGGTTATTTGTGTTTTGACGCCATTCAAACTCCAAGACTACATCAGAATGACCTACAAAGGTGTGCACAGGTGCACTCATGTCTGTTACAGACCACAATAAGAGAGAATTTTCACCTCGACGCAGTTGTGGCACCACTACTGTAACAACACCTTCACCAAATGGCTGTAAACAACAACAACTTTTGTTAGTGCATGTATTTGCTATCCATAAAAAATTTTAAAAGCTATAAGCATAATATTTAAATTTGGGAATTTTCTTTCTTTTTTGGGTCACCCTGCCTCAGTGGGAGATGGCCGACTTGTTGAGAGAAAAAAAAATAGAAATAAAACAGATACAAAGGTGCACTATCAACATTATTCAAGAAAAGCCACAGGACCAGAACAAGCTTTTATTACACTGATTCTGCTGTGTAGAGCCCCAAGCTTTAACAGGACTGAAAAAGTTGCTCATGGCCTTTTCTCCTGAGCTCTACACAGTAAAACAGTGCCACAATACAAGCTGGCTGGGCACCCGAGTCCTTTGCAATGACTCAATAAGAAAAACAAAAAGCCAATAACTACAAGAGGCTACTGAATTGTCTGCAACCATAAACAGAAAACTAGTAGAATATAAAGACAATAATTATGCAGAACAATCATATATTTTAGATGACTTTTCACTCAGGAACTGAAAAATATCCATTCTGAGGGAGACGGTCTAAAATAAAGGCTTGTTCTATGGTACTTATGACAAGGAAACTTGCACACTACTACTGACAATTTTGACAATCACAAAGCCAACATTCAGCAGTAATATAGAAAAACTATAAAAATAAACCTTTAAATAAATAAATAAAATTAAATCTGAAGAATTAGACACATGTGCAATATCTGAGTATCTTTATTTGTAGATGTTTAGACATCCAGTACCTCTATCAATACAAATTCAAGGACATAATGGGAAGACTGTAGAACTACATACAAAAGATGAGGTAATCAGTCCCTCAGCCTTGTACATAGTTCAATAGTCTTTCCATTATGTCCCTGAATTTGTATTGACAAAGCTACTGGATGGGGAAATGTCTATAAATAAAAATACCCAGGTGTTGCACGTGTCTAATTCTTCATCTTGTCAGTATTGTATACCATTTATGTGCAAAATTAAATATTTTAGCAAAATGATTTATAACATACTGTATATCGGGCACGCCAGACAGGAGACAGTGTGTTGATGAAGTTCTCAGCTTTCCGTGGGTTAGTGATATTAAAGAACTTCACTGTACAATCCTGAAAAAAACATAATAATGGTGTATATGCAGGTTTCTTGGCTTTTACACTGGAAAAGTGGACACACACTCTCCACGAACCTTCCTATCTAGGTTGGGTAAGGTTTGTCAGGAAACAAGACAAATGTTTCTTGATGCAGGTCTTGGTCTTATGATGACTCACAGTTGGAGTTTTTTGTCATATCTTCTGAACTAACATCTCTTAGTCTACAAATAGTATTCTAATTTGAGTTGATACAGTTATCATAGTACTGTAAGATAACTACTTCACTCCATACATACATTTCAAAGATGTAATTATTCCACACTTTCCTTCACAATTCACTGGAAATTATTACTTACATTAGAGGAAGTCACTAGGTGATTCTCATGATTGGGAGACCAGTCCAAGCCTTGGATTTTTGACAAATGTGCAGCAATGTACTGGGCTGGCTGACTAGTTTTGCGATTGTCCCACACACGAATATTACAATCATGGCCAGATGCTAAGAAGTTGTGATTGAGTTTGTTCCATTTTACTTGAGATGCTCCAGCTGGAAGGAAACAATGTGTCAGAAGGAACAAAATTTTTTAACACATCAACCATTGCTCACCAAGGTAGGCCAAACAGTAAAGTTACGTACACCATCATTCATTCAATACTTGCTAAATCTAGACAAAAGTAGACAGTTCTCAGTAGATAGCATCTTGCAGAGGGAGAGAGCCTTCCAAGTTACTATCCTTGCCTCACACACCTAAATAATACACAACAGTTCTTAGTCTAGATAGAAGTAGATAGTTCTTCTCACCTTGTCATAAAACCACAAACATCATAATTACAATGTCCCACTAAATTGTAACAGTTCCACCCATCTTTCAAACAGTAGGCACTATACTTCCCACCTCCAGGAATGAATTTCAGATAACTAGTTTCTCCAATCTCTTCATAAATGTTACCTTGCTCACACTCCAACAGCCCATCAAACATGAAAACTATTTGTCTCCACTCATTCAGATCTAACTTGCACATGCACACTTGCTGGATGCTCAAGACTTTACCACTTACAACTTTCCTCACCCACTCCCTCCACCTCTTCTTGAACAGACCTCTTCCCCTCCTTCCTTCCACTCAAGATTTATAGACCTTATTTGTCATCCAATTAAGATGCATCCTTTCAAATGTCCAAAAATCCTTGACAACATCTACTCTGTGGAAAGGATACCTTTTGTATCCCATATACTGTCTAATTACCACACTCCTAATTCTTTTCATAATGTTCACACCATATGTTGCTCTCAAACATGTCATCCCCACTGCCACTAGCCTCCTCACTGCAACACTGAAACAACATTCCTCACACATAATAGGTGTTGTAACCACTATTCTCTTGTACATTCCCATTTTGCCTGCCTCCATAAATATTTTTTTTCTTTCCACAGATGCCTCTGCACTCACAAAATTGTAATAATATAGGAAAGAGTTTATTTAAGTAACAAAATGTTTCGGATCACCTTACTTAATATTTTTTTGTCACACCATCCATATCTCACAATGGTAGGGCGACTTAAAAAAAATGAAACATCCACCATCATTTATCCAACAAGTTTTTGCCAGAAGAATGTAGACATCTCAATTCAAATGATCCTCCAAACTGTAACATCCTCTTTTGGTCACTCTACCCTATTAAGAAATGGCCCATAAGGTTAAACAAAAAAAAAATTATTGAATATCACTGAACATTTACCAATAGCTGAAAGTGAAGCAACTGGCTTGCGAGTTTCTCTTGTGTCCCATATGTGAACAAAAGTGTCGATTGAACAGGTTGCTAAAACATGGGGGTCAAATCGGTGCCAGTTGAGGTCTGTGATGGTTCGTGTGTGGGCTCGGAGAGAGGTAGTCCCATTCAAACTTCCTTCAGTCCACTGACAAATTTCTGCTCGTTCCCCTGACTATAACAAAAATAAGACTATTAACCACGTTAAGACAAAAAGGTTATGATACACTAGTTTCTGAGCTAAAAAAAATATGAAAATAAAAAAACAATTGTCTAGCAAAATCCCACAAAGATTTATCACTTATAAATTTAAGAACAAGTGCTGTATTATCATCCAGGAATAGATCTTTCTAATCAAAAAATGTCCACAAAGTTCAAGTCTTCTTCTCATGAGCCGATTACAATTTTTTTAATCAAGAAAAATGAAGAAACGAAAAATACATAGTACAGTTATGTGCTGAACTGTTGCAAAAGTCCTACTATTTATATCAACTGAGAGATGCTTGGTTCTTAGTATGTATCTCTTAGTATCAGGCCTTGATCCACCAGGAGGCCTGGTCAAGGACTGGGCCATGGGGGAGCTGACCCCCCCAGAACACCTTCCATGTAGGCAAGTATCTTAACAGAATGAACTATTTGACCTAAATGAGTGCCATACTGCAACTCATCACAGTGTTTGAACCATATCTCTGTGATAATATAACTGAGGGTGGGAAGAGGACTGATGCTGGGATTATAGTAGTATTCAGTATTAACATAATGGCAACAACCATGTGTGATTTTTTTAAGGTTTTTAATTAATGGGCCACCATTTATTAGCAACTCTTTTTTCAAATCTTTGCAAAAAAAATTATAATAATTTAGCCATTCCTGAAGCAATAACTAAAAAAATAATTTTTCATATAACTTCATTCATACAAATAGTATTATAAGGAGTTATGCATGCTAGTACATGGTAGATGATCCAAGGTGACCATATACGACTTGCATACGTTCTATTTAATGTACTAATTATGCTATGATTAAGACTTGTTACTCAGTTGAGGGTAAGTATTGTATCATGAAATAAACTTGAAAGTCACTCTTCACTTCCATATTATATAACAAACAGATAAGATGTATATTTCATTTTATAAATTGCATCATTTTTCTAAACATGCATGGATTTGGTTGAATAAATACAAAATTCACAGCCTGGGAGAAAAGGGATTTGCATAACCCAACCCTCCTTGCAGTCTGAGGTAAGGTCAACAGGTGTTAGTGCTTGGTGGAAAATATGCGTCTGCAAAGATTGTAAAGTTGTCACCAGAGTTTTTTCTGAAATATCTTCGTGGTCAGTTAAGTTCTAGAACTAGTAAATTATAGTTTATTGTTAAAATAGTGTTAAAGTGGTCTATCATAAATTGATCAATTTATTATCGTAGAGGAATTAACTGCTGCCATATTAACTAACTTATTGTTTTTTAATAAATTTTAAGTAAACTTTTTGAACTGGTACTTTTCCATAATCAACCCCAAAATAATGTAATATAATCAATAGGCCTCAAATTCAATTACTAGCCAAATAATAACACTTACCAATATACAAAGCTGCCATTAGTTAAAGATTACACTGAATGCAGATAAATGGTTTAGAGAACCGGCAAGTTGATAAATTAGACACGTGTGCAGCACTTGGGTATCTTTATTGTGGAAACGTTTCACCACACAGTGGCTTCATCAGACTGAGGGACTGATTACCTCAAACTCCTTCTGATCTTCACCATTCTTCTTTGTATTAGACTGAGAGCCACTATGTAGTGAAACATTTCCACAATAAAGATACCCAGGTGTTGCACGTGTCTAATTTATCAAAGATTACATTAAGATATCAAGCACCTACCGCAAGCACAAAGGTGTGTCCCTGAGACTGTATTGGATTCCACTCAGCAGCTGTTACATCATATTTCTGCCGCGTTCTGCTGACTCTCTTGACAACCTCAGATGGCTTATTCAGTGATATAAGCGCTAGATTTCGGCGGCTGAAGTAATGTTGTAATGAGAAATGATGAAAGATTTATAAACAAACAAACTTGTTTAAACTTTTTTTTCATTTACAGAGCACCACCAATAACCCAAATTACATTACATAAAAAATATTTTTCCATGTATCATACTACTGTTATCCTTAGTTCCTAAAAATACTCTTATCTCTGCTCTTTGCCTATAAGAAATGAGGTGAATCAAACACAAGAGAAGCCCTAATGTCATTCATATTTATTATCCCTTACATATAGTGCATTTAGGTCAGATTCACTACACATTATATAATCACTCTCCTAATTTTATATACAGTACTTAGGAGTGTCTTCTATAACATCTGTCAATGTTGTCTGTAGCCTTCCTCTCCACCTTGTACCCTCTTCTGAGCCATAATATATACTAAACCCTTGTACAAAAAAATCTCACACTGTACAATATCCTGGTAACATACCAAAAAGTGCAACCAGGGTAGACCTTCACAGATTTATGTGCAAAATTTGGGTTTTCACTACTACATGCTGTAGAATTTTCATTTGCCAGCAAAACCTGGTCTTATAACAAGAGCATTTCATGAGCACCATTTCTTCCCTCCAGTGACCTCCCTCAAACATCTACATTCTGGGAGCACCTTGCACTTCACTCACTATTTTGGATTTTCATTATTATCTGGTGTCTGAATATTAACCATGGAACACATGAAGAATGCTAGTGATGGTGGAAGGGCAAAGAAGTGCAAATCTGGGACTGCATTGTAAGTTTATTTAGGTAGAGGTGCACATAAATACAATTAACCCCTTGACTGTCACAACTCCCAATCCTGAGGTGTTTCCTGGTGTCGCAAAATTTAAAAAAAAAATAATTTTTCTTATAAAATGATAGAGAATCTTTTCCCGATTGTATGACACCAAAAACACGAAATTTAATGGAAAACTGACGGAATTACGCTCTCGTGAAGTTAGCGACCTCGGCGATATTTACAAATCGGCGATTTCGCCCACTTTGAGCCCTATTTTCGGCTAATTCCTTTGTTCCAGTCAACCAAACTCATAGCTATTTCTTTAGGGCTAATTCCTTTGTTCCAGTCAACCAAACTCATAGCTATTTCTTTAGAACTCTGTTTTTTCTATCGACTGAGTATAAGAAACTGCCCATTTACCAATTTCAACTACTACCAATAACGTGGTCAGAAATTTGCAATTTCGCCAATTTCACGAAAATTAAAAAATATGACAATTTCAAAATAAGGTCCAGAATGAACAATGCAGACATTCCTGGCTCTAAAATAACATTTTCTTTGTTCATCAGTCATGTCTCCAGGCCCCTCTGATATTACTCTTGCTTTCTATTTTGAATTTTTATTCAAACAAAAAATAGAAGATTTACTATTATGTAGACTACTGCAATACTGTAATAATTGTATAAATAACATCAACCCATTCATGACTGCATATTAGAATGGCTAGTTGGACATTTATTGGACAATGACATCATTTGTTTACTTTTGAACATCGGCAAAAATCAAATATTTCCCCTACTTTGAGCTCCATTTCCAGGTTCTTTTTATAGGAAAATCAATCAAAATTACCTCTATTTCTATAATATGTTTTCCATTCTATCAAATGAGACCAAGAAAACGAGAATACAAATATAAATACTATACGAAAATAGATCACAAAGTCGGCATTTTAATTAAAAAAAACGGTCGTAGTTTTTTTTCTCATTATGCACTGCGTGCTCCAGGATTATTTTTATATGGTGCACACTGACCACACAGACCCATTCTCTCACATGTGGGCCTACCAGCTTTCTCCTTCTTGATTTGAAGCCGCTAGAATTTATGAGTACAGTGAACCCCCGGTTTACGATATTATTTCATTCCAGAAGTATGTTCAGGTGCCAGTACTGACCGAATTTGTTCCCACAAGGAATATTGTGAATTAGATTAGTCCATTTCAGACCCCCAAACATACACATACAAACGCACTTACATAAATACACTTACATAATTGGTCGCATTGGGAGCTTATCGTAAACTGGGGGTCCACTGTATATATACGTCAAACACGGTACCTCGTAAGACGTATATATACGGCCGCGACAGTCAAAGGGTTAAACAAATTATCATACATGGTAACATGTGTAAATTACCCACCAGGATAACCCAAGAAAGTCAGACAAAGTGGTGCCCATGTAATGGAAACTGCCTGAGAGTTTAGCGTGAATGAAGTCACCATTTGTAAAATTGGAAACAATGAGAAAAAATAAGAGCTTACGAGTTAAGTAGTACAGATGTCACTTGCTCAAAAGAATGTCAAAGATGTCAGACAGAAAATTACTTTGTGTTGAGTTGTATTAAGTAAATATAAAAAGTAAGATAATAAAGAAAAAAGCCATATCCTACTGTAGGACTGGGTGAGATAAAAGAGAACCTTCATAGCAATGCAAGTTTAGCTCTAGATAGTTTGAGAATTTTAAGAAGTGTAACTGACATCATAACACAATTTGTTGGTAAAAGTGAGTCAGCTGACCAAGTAGGTAGCTACTTGGTCAATTATCTTCACATTTTCCCTAACAATTCTAGGCAAGCTATATTGTAATATTTTTTACAGTATAATAAAAAAAAATTGGAGAACAGGGAGGAGGGATGTTAACCTTTGTGTTGTCTGGAAACATAACCCTATTTTTCTCATATGTACCTCACTTCATGTATCTCTATTTTATGTCATGTCAGTTTTCAGGACTGTAGCCCCATGTTACAAAATATTTTTACAATTCTCATAACTATTAAAGGATCATGATCCAAAGAACTGGAGTGAGCCAGCCAGTCCAGGCCCTTCCCCCCCCTTGCTTTCTCTTTCTCTCTCCTCTTCAATTCTCTTGTCTCTCTCCTCTCTCTTTTCTCTTCTCTTTCTCTCTCTCCCTTTTCTCTTCTCTTTCTCTCTCTCCCTTTTCTCTTCTCTTTCTCTCTCTCCCTTTTCTCTTCTCTTTCTCTATCTCCCTTTTCTTCTTTCTCTTTCTCTCTCTCCCTTTTCTCTTCTCTTTCTCTCTCTCCCTTTTCTCTCTCTCTCTCTCTCTCTCTCTCCCTTTTCTCTTTTCTCTCTCTCTCTCTCCCTTTTCTCTTTTCTCTCTCTCTCTCTCTCCCTTTTCTCTTCTCTCTCTCTCCCTTTTCTCTCTCTCTCTCTCTCCCTTTTCTCTTTTCTCTCTCTCTCTCTCCCTTTTCTCTTCTCTTCTCTCTCTCCCTCTCTCTCTCCCCTTTTCTCTTCTCTTTCTCTCTCTCTCCCTTTTCTCTTCTCTTTCTCTCTCTCCCTTTTCTCTTCTCTTTCTCTTTCTCCCTCTCTCTCCCTTTTCTCTTCTCTTTTCTCTCTCTCCCTTTTCTCTCTCCCTTTTCTCTCTCTCTCTCTCTCCCTTTTTCTTTTTCTCTCTCTCTCTCTCCCTTTTCTCTTTTCTCTCTCTCTCTCTCTCTCTCTCCCTTTTCTCTCTCTCTCTCTCTCTCTCTCTCTCTCCCTTTTTTCTCTCTCTCTCTCTCCCTTTTCTCTTTTCTCTCTCTCTCTCTCTCTCTCCCTTTTCTTTTTCTCTCTCTCTCTCTCTCTCTCTCTCTCCTCTCCTCTCTCTCTCTCTCTCTCTTTTCTATTTTTCTTTTTTCTCTTCTCCTTCCCCCCCCCTCTCTCTCTCTCTCTCTAAATATTTTTACTGTTCTGTGAGCATCATCCTCAGGTATTTAAAACCAATCTCATCTCTTTTTCACTCAATCATAGTTAATAACAAATTGGGAGCAGTAGATAATCATAAACATAATAATCTTTATTTCAGCATGATACAATGTTTATAGAGATGGGTGACATTTAGGCATGCATGTAAAAAGCCCCTTGTTATGCAGAAGGTACAGTAATATGACAGAAGGGAGTTGCTGATAAAGAAGTTGTTGATATGAAAGAAGAACTCTAAAATAAGCCGAGAACAAATATTGAACATGGTGCAATGACTTAAGTTTATATAGGAAATAACGCAGAAAGGAAGACAATAGATAAGATTGGAAAATGAGTTAAATTCTTCGGAGATATGGCTAGTATGAGAGATTTGCCGAACATCTAAATGCAGAAAATAGGCTCTGAGGAGAATTTAAGAGCAACAAACTTCAAATGCCATCAATGTGGTACAGTGTTCTTGCCATACGAAAAGTATTAACTATGACTCACTTCACACACGTTGAAATTTTACACTACTGTAATGAGATTAGGAGCTCCTCTGTATTTATTCCATCCCATGTCTTTGTGATGGTAATAAGAGATAACAAATATGTACATGTATGTATACAGACACCGATAACTTCCAGGACATTAAACACATTTTTTACCTTCATGAATACTGTGTGTACTATCTTAGAAAATTAAATCATGTGAATGCTTACCCAGCAAGAAGAGTGTATTCTCCACGCCAGTCAAGTGCCATAGCATTGGCCTGTAAAGAAAGGTTTAATCTTTAAGAAAACTCGAGTCTTCCTACCCCCAAGATCAGACTAGTTTTCGAGGGCTGTGATTAAAGAAAGATTTAATCTTTTAGAAAACTGAAGTTCTCCCCACCCCCCATCCCAAGACCAGACTAATTTCTGTTTTAGAAGGCTGCCGATGTTAAAGCTGTATTTATATTTTAGAATCAAATTAAAACTGAAACCTGCTATTTTTTTATTAACCCTGATACAAACAATTTCCTGGTCTTTTCTTTCTAGTATTGTTAGATTCATTAGGGAGCCCTAAACCCTTATCATACAGCACCTGGGGTAATGGTAAGTATTCTGGTGTAGTTCAATGAAGGAAAGCATATACAGTGAACCCCCGCATAACGATTACCTCCGAATGCGACCAATTATGTAAGTGTATTTATGTAAGTGCGTTTGTACGTGTATGTTTGGGGGTCTGAAATGGACTAATCTACTTCACAATATTTCTTATGGGAACAAATGCGGTCAGTACTGGCACCTGAACATATTTCTGGAGTGAAAAAATATCGTTAACCGGGGGTCCACTGTATCTAATTCCTTAGATCAAGAACCCCTCACTGGCATCGAAGAACCTCCCTTGATAGTTTTATATTTTATAATTTTATTTGAAATACATAATCCTCTCATAATTTATGAAAAAATGTTCAAATGTTAATTGAAAAGCTTTGAATGTAGCTCCAAAATAAAACTTCTAATGAAATTTGGTGCAATGGTATGTTTTAAAAAGGTCCCCTATACTAAACATTGCATTTTAATTTTTTATTCCTATCCTTGACATAAAAATCTGAAAGATGGAGTGTAAAAAAAACAAAAGTAATGCAAGATACTAAAACTAAAAATATAATAATGTTGCAGCATTATCTGCTCATTCTGCATGATGCCAGTGTCTGAAAAGAATAAAAATTTATACATTGTATTGTACTGTACTGTACAGTACTGTAAACTGGAGATGCATCAAGCCTTGTATCCAATGTAAACGAAGTCTTGGAGTGATTCATCAAATCACTCGACATTATTATTGCATTATGGAAGAGAAATGTAAGGGATCTGGGGTAACCACATCAGAAAATATTACACTGAAGGAACATAACAGCAAAATTATCACAGAATCTACACAGTAACCTCCAAAAAATTATACTCTCTAGCCTGGAATATTGTCGTATAATAGCATTCCTGTTTAAGGCTGCATCAACTTAAGGACCTAAATAATTGGAAACCACCTGAAAGTCCCCTAAACTGGACCTCTTTTCTTCCCCAGGATTGCAAAGTTATGCAGTGCAGTATTTTGATCCAAATGAAAACTATAAATATAAAAATGATTGTATTGGAATGTGTAACAAGAAACTATCTCACTGACAACTTCATGCTTATCCTTTGATGCTTGCTTATCAGAGAACTTACTATGAAGTATGTAGCAATACTAGCAGATGCTGGATTAAATTGCTTTATACACAGGCAGTATGTTTGCTTACTGAGGCAAGTAAGACATAGGCTCTGGTGGCCTGGTGGCTAACTCTCTCGCTTCACACGGCGAGGGTCTGGGTTCGATTCCCAGCCAGAGTAGAAACATTGGACGTGTTTCTTTCCATCTGTTGTCTATGTTCCCCATCAGTAAAATGGGTACCTGGGTGTTAGTCGACTGGTGTGGGTCGCATCCTGGGACACTGACCTAATTTTCCCAAAATGTGCCGAAATGCGGAGCATAACAAGGGACTTTCTATATAGTAGTATGTCATTGTTGTCAGATAGGACTGTATACCTTGTACATGTACTTGTAGTAAATAAAGATATTATTATTATTATTATTATTATTATTATTATTATATAGGAAGTGCATCTGTCTCACACTCAGCAGATGGAGGATCGAGCTTCCACAATGTCTTGCGTTGAATGATCCATATGGGTTTAGCGCCGCTCTGGAGGTCCCTGTGCACACCACCCCAAGGTCCCTGTGCATGCCACCCTGAGGTTCCTGTGCATGCCACAACGGAGGTCCCCGTACACCCCCATCCTGGAGATCCCTGTGCACACCACCCTGGAGGTCCCTGTGCATGCCACTCCGGATGTCCTTTTGCACACCACCCCGAGGTCCCTGTGCATGCCACCCCAGAGGTCCCTGTGCATGCCATCCTGAGGTCCTTGTGAATGCCACCCGGAGGTCCCTTTGCATGCCACTTTGGAGGTCCCCATCCACGCAACCCCAGAGTCCCTGTGCATGCCACCCCGAGGGTTCCGGTGCATGCCACCCCGAGGGTCCCTGTGAACGCCACCCAGAGGTCCCTGTGCATGCCACTTTGGAGGTCCCTGTGCATGCCACCCTGGAGGTCACCATGCACGCCACCATGGTCCCCGTGGATGCCACCCCAGAGGTCCCTGTGAATGCCACCCGAGGTTCCTGTGCATGCCACTCCGAGGGTCCCTGTGCATGCCATCCTGAGGTCCCTGTGAACACCACCCGGAGGTCCCTGTGCATGTCACCCAAGAGGTCACCATGCATGCCACCTTGGAGGTCTCCGTGGATGCCACCCCAGAGGTCCCTGTGCATGCCATTTTGGAGGTCTCTGTGCACACCACCCCGAGGTCCCTGTGCACGCCACCCTGAGGTCCCTGTGCATGCCACCCCAGAGGTACCTGTGCACAACACCCTGAAGGTCCCTGCCTACACTACCTGGAGGTCCGTGTTTATACTACCTGGAGGTCCGTTTATACTACTTGGAAGTCCCTGTCTACACTACCTGGAGGTCCCTGCCTACACTACCTGGAGGTCCCTGCCTACACTACCTGGAGGTCCCTGTCTACACTACCTGGAGGTCCCTGTCTACACTACCTGGAGGTCTGTCTACACTACCTGGAGGTCCCTGTCTACACTACCTGGAGGTCCCTGTCTACACTACCTGGAGGTCCCTGTCTACACTACCTGGAGGTCCCTGTCTACACTACCTGGAGGTCCCTGTCTACCTGGAGGTCCCTGTCTACCTGGAGGTCCCTGTCTACACTACCTGGAGGTCCCTGTCTACACTACCTGGAGGTCCCTGTCTACACTACCTGGAGGTCCCTGTCTACACTACCTGGAGGTCCCTGTCTACACTACCTGGAGGTCCCTGTCTACACTACCTGGAGGTCCCTGTCTACACTACCTGGAGGTCCCTGTCTACACTACCTGGAGGTCCCTGTCTACACTACCTGGAGGTCCCTGTCTACACTACCTGGAGGTCCCTGCCTACACTACCTGGAGGTCCCTGTCTACACTACCTGGAGGTCCCTGTCTACACTACCTGGAGGTCCCTGTCTACACTACCTGGAGGTCCCTGTCTACCTGGAGGTCCCTGTCTACACTACCTGGAGGTCCCTGTCTACCTGGAGGTCCCTGTCTACACTACCTGGAGGTCCCTGTCTACACTACCTGGACGTCCCTGTCTACACTACCTGGAGGTCCCTGTCTACACTACCTGGGGGTCCCTGTCTACACTACCTGGAGGTCCCTGTCTACACTACCTGGAGGTCCCTGCCTACACTACCTGTAGGTCCCTGCCTACACTACCTGGAGGTCCCTGTCTACACTACCTGGAGGTCCCTGCCTACACTACCTGGAGGTCCCTGTCTACACTACCTGGAGGTCCCTGCCTACACTACCTGGAGGTCCCTGTCTACACTACCTGGAGGTCCCTGTCTACACTACCTGGAGGTCCCTGTCTACACTACCTGGAGGTCCCTGCCTACACTACCTGGAGGTCCCTGCCTACACTACCTGGAGGTCCCTGCCTACACTACCTGGAGGTCCCTGCCTACACTACCTGGAGGTCCCTGCCTACACTACCTGGAGGTCCCTGTCTACCTGGAGGTCTGCCTACACTACCTGGAGGTCTGTCTACACTACCTGGAGGTCTGTCTACACTACCTGGAGGTGTCTACACTACCTGGAGGTGTCTACACTACCTGGAGGTGTCTACACTACCTGGAGGTCCCTGTCTACACTACCTGGAGGTCCCTGCCTACACTACCTGGAGGTCCCTGTCTACACTACCTGGAGGTGTCTACACTACCTGGAGGTGTCTACACTACCTGGAGGTCTGTCTACACTACCTGGAGGTCTGTCTACACTACCTGGAGGTCTGTCTACACTACCTGGAGGTCTGTCTACACTACCTGGAGGTCTGTCTACACTACCTGGAGGTCTGTCTACACTACCTGGAGGTCCCTGTCTACACTACCTGGAGGTCTGTCTACACTACCTGGAGGTCTGTCTACACTACCTGGAGGTGTCTACACTACCTGGAGGTGTCTACACTACCTGGAGGTCTGTCTACACTACCTGGAGGTCCCTGTGCTCGGCAACAACATTTTCGCTGCTCCATCGCACCGCCATATCTTAAAGTTCTGTCTCTTCTATATTATACATCAAGTCTCCTCAGCTTCAACATATTTATACAGTATAAGAAGACACTTATGATGTGTTGAGTGTATCCTGGAGCACAACCACCAGGCAACTACCACTATCCAGCGACCACTATACAGCGACCACTATCCAGCTACTATTATACTCTCAGTGTTGCCAAAACCAATCTCCAACACTTCCCACAAATGAGTGAGGTTTTTCCCACAAAATTCCCATAAATAATGCATAAATCCAACAATTTTTTACACAAATTGTTAGGTAGGTAAATAAGTATATTTAGGCACAGGTATACATAAGTACAAATACCATGCATGGTGTAAATCACCTATGATAACCCCCCAAAAAATTAATGTGACTTATTTGCACTGGGGTCCTTGTTGAAATCAAAATAATAATTACAGTATTTATTCTATATATATATTACCTCATGATGTAAAGCAAATTATTTGAAGACATAAATTAAATGGTATAAATAAAAATATAGTTCACTTTCAAGCAAAACATTAGGAATGGGATTTGCAAGCAAATGTTACACTATAATTATTGGATTGAGAAGTAGCAAGAGTTGTCTATATTCTATACTGTTGTAGCAACATACTTTTGTGACGTTCATTATTATAACTAATTTATGTGTTGCTCAGAAGACAAGTATTGCATAGTTAGTGATCTCACAGTGATCTCATAGTTAGTGATCTCATAGTTAGTGATCTCATAGTTAGTGATCTCATAGTTAGTGATCTCATAGTTAGTGATCTCACAGTTAGTGATCTCATAGTTAGTGATCTCATAGTTAGTGATCTCATAGTTAGTGATCTCACAGTGATCTCATAGTTACTGATCTCATAGTTAGTGATCTCATAGTTAGTGATCTCATAGTTAGTGATCTCACAGTTAGTGATCTCATAGTGATCTCATAGTTAGTGATCTCATAGTTAGTGATCTCACAGTGATCTCATAGTTACTGATCTCATAGTTAGTGATCTCATAGTTAGTGATCTCATAGTTAGTGATCTCATAGTTAGTGATCTCATAGTTAGTGATCTCACAGTTAGTGATCTCATAGTGATCTCATAGTTAGTGATCTCATAGCTAGTGATCGGTGGCCCGGTGGCCTGGTGGCTAAAGCCCCCGCTTCACACACGGAGGGCCCGGGTTCGATTCCCGGCGGGTGGAAACATTTCGACACGTTTCCTTACACCTATTGTCCTGTTCACCTAGCAGGCTACCTGGGTGTTAGTCGACTGGTGTGGGTCGCATCCTGGGGGACAAGATTAAGGACCCCAACGGAAATAAGTTAGACAGTCCTCGATGACGCACTAACTTTCTTGGGTTATCCTGGGTGGCTAACCCTCCTGGGTTAAAAATCCGAACGAAATCTTATCTTATCTCACAGTTAGTGATCTCACAGTTAGTGATCTCATAGTTAGTGATCTCATAGTTAGTGATCTCATAGTTAGTGATCTCACAGTTAGTGATCTCATAGTTAGTGATCTCACAGTGATCTCATAGTTAGTGATCTCATAGTTCGTAAACTCATAGTTAATGAACTCTTATAGTAGTGTGGAAAATTGCATTTATCTGAATGTAACTAATTATGTACATAACAGTAAATGATAACAAAGATAATTATTATTTATTAATGTTACATAGACAAGTAGGAATTTGGGACACCTAGGTCGCAAAAATGTCCCCCTTCGATACCTACCACTGTCATAACCACAAGTTGCTCTAGACCTATTAATTAAATGAAATATACATACACCAGGAATACTGGTAAATATATAAATTTGTGGACTTTATATTAAAAATAGTAAATGGTTATATATATATACACAATTACATAACAGAAGGAAAATATATCTTAATATCACTCACCAATTTGACTGGAGATTAATGTGTATCATACTCAGAAAACCTCACTCTAACTAAATCTATGAAAATAATGCTGGTCAGAATTACACACAAATCTAAAGAGCTTATCTGAGGTTCCTGGAGCTGTCTTGTCCAGTCGTCTGATATCTTAAGTTATGCAGGAATACACATCCACCAATTTCGCCTCCTATTTGAGAGGTGTCAACACAATTTTAACCTCTAGAGCACGAAAAATTCTTCCCATTACACCAACGTTTGTACAAAATTCAAAACCAAGATAGCGACTGACTCCCCCAGCCGCAGGTTTCTAATTTTCGATATCATACTTCTTTTAAAAATACAATATAGGGCATCTATTTACCTATAAATTACCGTATTTCCGGAAAATATATACAGTATTTTCCACAAGTAGTGTGCATATTAATTGGGACAGTAATGAAATAAGACATTTATTTGGAAAATTAATGTTTATTTGAAAAATACACGGCAGTGATATGACAGCTAATTGATTTAAAAAGAGATATGACTATCCTCTGTCTTTATGAGCAATGCTACACGCTTTGGCATAGAATCAGCAAATACTGAACACGTTTAGGCAAGTTCTTGGTCGTGGCACCAGGTTCTAATAACAGCAGCAGTTAGCTTCTCCACAGCTGAATAGTCCTGTTTCACAATCCTGTGTTTGGTTATTGTCCATAGATTCTCAATTGGGTTGAGGTCAGGCCAGTTAAGAGCGCTTAACCCACTCTCTTCGAAGAATGTCAGCATTTTTCTGCAAGTGTGGCATGGAGCAAGATCCTGCTGGAAAATGCCTTCTCCGTTAGAAAAGTCTCTATGCACAATGAGAAGCAAATGAATTGCCAGGATTGCCTTGTATTTGTCATTGTTCATCGTTTCCTTAACAATAACAAGCCGTCCAGAGCCTCTAGCAGTAAAACTACCCCCAAAACATCTTCTTGGGAGGGTATCTTGATGCTTGTTGAACGTGTCCATTCCGAAAAGGTTCGCCTTTGCTCCGTCTCATTACCACTGATCTAAAAATACTATACCTTTTCTCCATTCATCTATCGTCCATCCCTTATAATTTAGTGTCAAACACAGCTGCTTTTTTCTTCATAGCAGCAGTCAATAATTGTTTCTTTACCAGCTTTGACAGTTCTGCCAACTTCAAGGAGTCTTCATTGAACAGTTGAAGAATCAACATTTATGCCAGCTAAAGCCAAATCTCTTTGTAGATTTTTAATGGTTTTCTTGGGACCCTTCACACTCTTTCTTATGATAACCCTGTCATCATGAGGTGTTGTCTTGCATTTTCTTCCACATCTTCGTCGATGCAGTGTTTCACAATCACTAGTGTCGTCAGCTCTCTTCAGAATCCGACCACCAGTTGATTTTGCTAGGCTCAAATTTTCGGCGATCTGTCTGATACTCAAATCAGCATTTTTTCTAAGAGCTACAATACTTGCATGCTTTCTTGGTGTAACATCCATCATGAATTT